AATAAAATCGTTCAGATTTTGTCAGACAAAATCTGAACGGTTTTATTACGGGGACATCAACAACCACAACTACCAGATCAACAACCCAACCCGCCTCAAGGCAACTTAGGGTTTTAATTTACACTCACGTTGCCTCTTTCTCGATGTTGAAACGGAAGATGCCATCTGAACACTTCAGCTCTCCGTCATCGTCCAACAGGTTAAGTTGTGAGACCACGCTCTTGGGCCAGCGAACCGAGACCTCAGAAGCGTCGTTATTGCCAGAGTCCCTTACGATGGATACCGCGAATTTTTCCTGGGGTTCTTTCGACCCGCGCTTGGGGGCAGAATCATCCACGTCGCTGCTGCTGTCGGCCGACGACCCCTCGTCCGAGGACTCCCGTTCGGCACTTGCCTTCACGCTCTTCCCCCCAGTCGCTGGAAGTTGAGAAGGCACACATTCGGAAACGGGTTATTGCCCGGAGTCGACACGGAGGCGAAGTTCTTTCATGTTGGTCCAGAAAGCCCGAAAAGTCCGGTTAACACACGAGCATCTCTTTTGATCGGCAGCATGCATAGCAGATATCAATCATTAGGGTTTCCTGGTCGACGCCGCGCAACCACACAGGATTGCGCCGTGCACATCACCCTGAGCGTGCTGAAGTCGTCGGGAACAATAGTGTGCGTGGAGATCTTCAACCGTTTGCATTACGAGCGATGGCAGCAACTTTTCTAGCGACTGGCGGAGACGTGCCTAGGGCATGATAGCCGGTGATTCACTATGTACTACATATAGTTGACAACGACCACATGCACATGCCACCTCGAAACATACGCCACTATGTACTACATATAGGAACAACGACCCCCAATGCGTCCCACCTTGATTGTCACCAAACAAGAGGGCAAGTCGATCTTCGGCAAAGAAGGACTGGTCGTCCACTTGGAGGTAAGCCTTCACCGCCTTCTGGTTCTTCAGAAGCGCCTTGAGCTTCGCTCCCGCCCCAACAGCCGGGATAGCCCCCAAAAGATCACGAAATTTGCCCCGCCTTTCCGCAAGCATGTGCCCGGAGGACAGCCCCACGAGTTTCCGGTCGACAATAAGCAGACCAAAGACGGTTGCAACCATGCGATACATGTACTTGGGGTCGAGCTCGCCACGGTCCCCTCGTATCTGGAACGTGAACTGTGCGCACAAGGAACGGGGGGAGAAAAAGAAGAGATTTTCATCAGCCAGTGAAACGTACCAAATGGGGCAGAACTAGCTGGTTACTACATTTGTTCACATACGCACAACATGAGGTGACAGTCAAGCACGGCGGCATGTCGAGGCATCACGTACCCAGTCATCCCACGTCCGCGGGGTGTAGTCGGGCTCTGTTCCAGACGTGGACATAAAGGGTTCCACCCCCCATCCAGGTGTGAGGTTCGACTTGTTCGAGGGGTTGACGTTCTCCGTACTGAGGTCATGTGTGAAGGCAGTCGTTCTCCTGTTCAACGACATCGTGAGAGCAGATTTGGGGACGTTGAACGTCCCGCTCATGAACGGTCCGTTTTTGTCTGTCTCCTCGAGTGAGAAACGCACAAGATGCGGAACCCAGAAGTCTACCTCCTGGTGCATGCTGCTGATGAATGCTTTGCCAGCGATGGCAACCGCAGCACCCTCCTCCTCACTGACGAAGGTCTTCAGTAGCGAAAAGAGCTCGCTCGTCTCGGCGGGTACTGGAATGACAGTCTCGTTGTCCTTGTAAGGGTGAGGGTCGTCCAGGCAGTTTCTCCGGGTAACCAACCCAGTGACCATAGCCCGCACGACTTCAAGGACGACGAAATGGCGATAGCACTGTGTCCGAAAATCCTCGGTAAGACCCTTCTCCATCAATAGGTCCTGGACGAGCTGAGTGTCCTGGCTGTAGGATGTAAGCGAAAAGAAGGCTCCCATCGCGGTAACGGTGATGCTGTGCGGGGTATAGTCCGTGCCCGAAGCGTGGTCTTCGTGACCGGAACCCTAACAAGCGATAGGAGCGACGTGTGAGAGGAAGCGCAACGATGTCAAGTTCTAGTCCAAAAATATTGAAACAAATGATTTGTTGGATGCTACCAGTAGAGGAACCATGCTCCGCGTGAGGTTCATATTCCAACACTCATATCATGCACACCATGTGTATGGCTACGTGCAGCTTGCATGGTACCTACAGGCATCGGACAATTCAACTAACTCGTCACGCACCTCTCCGGCAGAGTGTTTGGACGCTCGCACTACGCTCTTGACCTTGGCTGCCTTGGCCTTGACCACCTTGGCGTTTTGGTCGTTGAAGTATCGGCGAAGGAGTCGGAGCGAGGGCCTCTCCGGGTCCAACGCCAAGGCGTACACGTAGACGGCGAAAGAACTTTTTCCTTGGTTTTCCAAACCTAGCTGTTTTCGCATCGCCTCGTGGACACGATTGACGAGGTCCCTTCTGATAACCTTTTGTTCTCCCCTCTTGCCACCGTTCTTCATTATATGCCGCCACTTAGGCCCGAAAGCCTCCTTCGCACGCTCACGACAGATCTTTTTGTTCGGGTTGAAGACCTGTCGCACGAGGTCCCCTTGGCTTTTCGCGACGTCCAAGAAAGTGACATCCTGTTCGAACGATGTACGAGAAATTTATCGTTCAGGTGGGAACGATGTGAGAGGTTGATTTGATCCCAAGACAGCGAACTTAGCCCGGGCAAGTATCAATCCCTATCGAGTCTCCCGACGATACGACGAGTTCATGCAGACCCGGGCACGTTTATATCCCTACCAACTCTCCCAAAGATAAGACGAGTTCATGCAGATCCGGGCAAGTTTACATCCCTATCAAGTCTTCTGCAGATAAGAGGAGTAGTTACAGACCCGGCATCTTTATATCCCTACCAAGTCTCCCGAAGATACGACGAGTTCCATGCAGACCCGGGCAAGTTTATATCCCTATCAAGTCTCCCGAAAATAAGACGAGTTCCTGCCGATCCGGGCAAGGTTATATCCCTATCAAGTCTTCCGCAGATAAGAGGAGTAGTTACAGACCCGGCAACTTTATATCCCTACCAAGTCTCCCGAAGATACGACGAGTTCCATGCAGACCCGGGCAAGTTTATATCCCTATCAAGTCTCCCCAAGATAAGAAGGAGTAGTTTCAGACCCGGGCAAGTGTATATCCGTATCAAAATTCCCGTCTCCCGAAGATGAGAAGGAAGAGTTGCAGACCCGGGCAAGTAATTTCCCGATCAGGTGTACCTTTACCAAATCCCGCCTGATACATGAGGACGTTCCGGGGTCCGTTCTGCCAGCTGCTGTTAACCCTCTCAAGTAGGATAGCTCACCGTGGTGGTCTTCTCGACCGTACGCTGGCGTCTCCCCACCTCCTCGGCTTGGTCATGGGTGAGAAAGGAGTAGACGTTCACGGATATTTTCATTTTCTCCAGCTGCCCCTTCAGAGTAGGCATCTTGGTTGCACAGTCGTCTGCCGGATGAAAATGGAACGACACGCCGCGAAAATGGCGACGTTACAGCACCGTGGGGATACGATCCACCCGCTGCTTAGAGCTATGGGGAATACGGTACACGAGATACGTCATCGGCTATTCGGCTAGAGTTAGGCTATGAGATTCGCAGGGGGGGGTTCTGAAATGATGACACCATGCTGTTGCAGAGGCTTACCATCTTAGGAGTGGTTAGTGTTGAAAATGAAAACTATCAGCAGCTCTTACAGAACATTAAACATCCGTGTTGTCACTTGTCCAAGACAATTACGACGCAGGCCCTTGAGGAATGGTTCACTATCGCTAGATAAATTTCGATCACTCAGGTGTTTTCGGGTGGGTACGACGATGGGTACCCTACAATGAATGGAAAGGGACGATGAAGACCTGGCGCGCTAAACAGCCATGACCTGGCGCACCACAACGATGCATTTTGACTGCTCACTCTACACACGACAATCAGTCAATTTATGTACCCAATGATTGCGCACTACTCCGAGGACCACGACAACGTAGCGTGCCACGAAAAAACACACCCGACAAACCGGCTTACCCGACACCTTCCGATCCCTTTTCAGCATAACATACAGGGAGATGCACAAGATGGCTACCAAACCGGATTGTTGAGCCTGTTACCCACGGGGGTTATATCGCTGTGTGATGCTCGGGGAATCGTGGACGTTCAGGGAGCTTCCCTCTATGTGATACTTTGTTTCGTGTCATCTTGAGAAAAAAAAATTAAATGAAATGAAATACGCCTTACCGTCTGTAAAGAGTCCGCCCTGAAGGTCGCCTCCGCGACTCAGCGACAAACCTAAATCGGTCGCGAACGCTGCATTGAGTACCGCTGCGCGGTGCTGTCCCTGCACCGCAACAAACTCCGGCCGCGCAGCGTTGAACTCAATGTTGGTTGGTGGTCCATACGCAGCGTAGTCCTGTGAGATACAAAGTACATCATGTCGAGAGAAGAAGTTCTAAGTGAAAGCAACAAACGGTCAAATTACAACGGAAAGTTGTGGGCGGATAAAGCACGCAGCAGAAGACGTCCAGTACCAAATGCGATGTTCGGTTGCGGCCTTCATCAACAAAAGGCCCGTCTTACGTGTGTGTGTGAGCATACTATACCTGCTTCTTTTGCCATCACATCTGTTCATGTTTAGTGGGCATCACGTGCTGGCCATCAACCTATAATCCACCACAGAAATCCAACGTTCCTCAACTCAACTCTAGCCGACCAATTTCCACACCGAAGCCTACAGAAGTTCTACTTTGCCCCCGTCCCGCGTGTCTCATTGTTTGACATTTTGGCAACTTACCCCCGCTTTCGGGGGAGAACAATGAAGAGGGAAGACAGTGCGATGTGGGTACACACGGTACGTTCTCCTTTCTAAAACACAGTAGTGGTGAGCTATTGTCGCCGTCCAAAGTGCCCGGGTTGTGTTACGCTTTCTTTCGATCATGGATGACGGCGGCCAACTCGAGGTTACCACCTACTCGCAAGAGTTATAATTTCGTCACCCGAAAAAAGCGATATAGTCTACAGACGATCGCGTGCTCATTATTGCTTGAACCTAGCGACAGAAGACCTTCTTGACGGCTCACCCACAAAGTTGCCTTTATTGTCTCATCCCAAGTAGCCTCAGGGCCCTTGGCCTGAATAAGAGCGCTGATCCGTGATTCCATCTCCCTCCGCTGTGGCACGCACGATAACGAGAGGTGTTCGGAATGTTCTAAATCAGGCGACGCAGCTTATTTTCGGTGCGTCTTATCTGCCAGACTGCGTGTGGTACAGCGGGACGGCAAAGACTGACTGTAGGTTACATCTACCTCAAATACCATGTTTGACGGAAAAAGTAAGAGATAGCACTTCTCGCCTGCACCCAGAAGGATATCCCCCGAAGAGATAAGGCTGCTTAGCTCTGTGGAGAGCCGACGGCCTCCCATTTTTGTTTCGAAGGATGCGAACGGGGTAAAAAGTCTACCAATACATAAGGACTCCGCTCACCTCATCGCTTGTTTCCGGCAAGTGCCCTAGCGCCTTCATCGTCTCGCTGAGCCACGTCTCCGTTGTTCCCCACGTCTTCGATGCTGGAGAAAGTATCATGAAGGTCGTCTCCGACATGGCACCGCAGGAAACAACGGAGTCCGCAAACGAGCGGGCTATGGCTGGGTCAAAGGCGTTGGGATTCTTCATGTGGTTGCGCTTTCCTTCCGCCAGCGACTCGTTGTTGCATGTGTAGACGAACTCGGTCGGTTTGAACGTGACAAGTTCCCCCCCCGACGTTGGCTCCATCGTTGCCGAAGCCATGATGCCCTCCACCGCGCGCCGCTCCTTCGAAGGACAAGAAGAGGGTTGGCGGTGTCTGCCACAACAATCTTCTCGTTCCTGGCCCGTTCGAACGTAATCATTGCTTGGGGCATGAAAGATGCAAAATATATCACCAACGGAAAAAAAAAATCAGCGCCGGAAGATTCGTAAATCTTTGCAATTACAGCAGTAGTTCGGGAGGAAGGTGGCAACGTGCCGAGTTTGTGTAAGGCGTTCGGCGAGCTCGAGACGGGACTGTCATCACAGTCATCTCCGAAAGAGATCCTCCGCCACCACCTCTTGTCTGCTTTTACGTTTTTACCTCCCAGTCAGGGTTTAAGCTTTTCTCTCCCTCAGCAGAGAGTGCCGTCTCGCGAGGTAGCTGCCTCCCGGTAGGGTTAACGGGACGTTATCCCTCCCCCGCAGTATCTTCTAACGGTTGGAGTGGATATGCCTGGGCTCTCAACAGGTGCGCGCGTGTGAAGATCATCGAGAGTTTGTCATCACTCCAAACATGTGCTCTTCTTCTCCCGGAATGTGCCGTATCACCCCCCTTCCCGCGATCACACAGAAAAGGGTTCCTCTCCCTGAGCTCCCCCTTACCCATCCCTCGTGCGGCGTATTCAGTTTGTACTGCTGTGGCGACTTTCCCGGAAGTCGTCTCACATACAGCAGTGTAGTTTTTAGCTAATAGAAAACGATCCACGGAACCCCCTACCTTGACTGTTTCCTACAAGTTGTTATGAACAGCAGGCGTGAATACACGTGCAAGGTTTGTTGCGCAACAACCTCACGAAGAAAAAAGGGACCTAGTCATCCTCGGGAAAATGCGACAGAGTATCGCCACTGGTTCCTGCCTCTAGGTGACATGTACAGTAGTCCAAGTGTGCAGGATTAGGCCTCCCTATGATACGGCCCGCCGTGCGTTAGCCAGAAACCACCCACCCTCTGAACAAGCTATTAGCCAAACACAACCGCTTATAATAAAACGTAGAATGAGTGCCGTAGAAGGCGCCGTTAACCCGTCTGGTGTATCTTTTTTAAACCGCATCGTTTCATGTGCGCATCCTCTTCTCTCGTGTCACCTGCAAGCAGCACCGGTCTGAAAGCTACCGCAGTTGTACATTGAGTGGATGAACATGGCAACGGGTTGCACGCAACGTTAGTGAAATAGCAAGATAGGGGGTTTTGATTCACACTAGGAGAGATGCATGAGGCTGGAAGACTTACTGCTGTAGCTTAGGTTCAGTTGGGCGAGCTTCGTGTCTCAACGTGCACATACATGAACAACCCCGGCGGTACGCATAGAGAGTCCTGTTGACGACGTCATATTCTTACCTGCGTAGAAAAAAAAAAAGCAACCCTTTGGAAGGAGGTCAGGGTTGTCTCACAAACACAACTCCCAGCTTGGCGTCTCAGGACGGTATTAGCAGACGAGGTTTTGGGCAGGGCTTTTGTGGGCTCCCTTCTTACTAGGCACAAGAGGTGAGACCACCCATACCCTCCGGCATGCACGGCTTCAACGGCAATCATGCCGGGTCATCCTTCCCCTTTGTATCTTGGGGCTCGTTCAGACACATTGGGTCGGTTGCATGCGAAGGGGATACGTTACGGTTTGCACTACAAGTAGGCAAGTACCTGACCACGTTTGCTCAGACGGTCCTCATCGCTCAGGACCATTCTGGTAGCAAGCGCAAAACAGCGCCACGGTTGGGGTTGGCTTCATTTGCATTTTTGAGGTGACAAACTGCAAGGCTGTCGGGCAGATAACCAATCCGAAAATCACTACATACAGGAAACACCGTCCTGCGAACGCATGTAACGCGTAGAGGTTGTCTAATCGCCACCCACGGGAATAGTCCCACAAAGCACCACAACAACAAACGTTTAGTGTTGTACGTTGTGAGTGCCGCTGCTGAGCCGGGTACCTGCTGTTCTCTTTCTCCTTTCAGTTTATAGAAAAAAAATTACCCCCCAAGTGCCCAGTGGACGATGGTGTGTGCCAAGGGGAAGCAAGACAAAGCGCGCCCCGATGTGTGTGTGTGTGCGCCCACCGACTGCTGTGCGCTATTGGCGTAGAAGTAGTTGTTACCCCTCCCCCTCCTGTCGTGGCTGTCGCCGTAGCCCGAAACGTAGGAACTGTGGGCTGATCGGCCCCAGACCAGCCGCTCGCACCCGCCCGGCCAAACAAAATTTATTTCCCGCTCTTTTGCTCACAAGCTATGTATGCATATGTTGTCTGTGGCCTAGAGCCGACACCTTTGTTCACAAGCTATGAGGTCTTTGGGGGGGTACCTCGAGCCGACCCCTCCCACATATAGCTTGCTTAATCCTACTGGTGGAATCTGCGAGAACGGATCGCCTTCTGTACTCATCGTAGGATATGTATGTGGTCGATACGGGAAGCATGCGGCCTCTCAACTTTCAATCCCGCTCCACACTGCTGGTACTCGAGTCGATTATTATACAACGTAAATTTAGCGCGGTGCAGCCAGACAGACGGAAAAGTAAAATCGATCGACTGCTGCTGTGGTAAATTAAATATATATCCTTCCTGTGTTTTAATGTGTGTGTGTGTGTGTGTTTGAGTCCTGTTGTACATTGTCTAGGCCCTTTCTTGTGGTATAGGGTACGGTGGTGTGTATCGCTCCCGATCCTACGGCGCCGTAGTAGCGTCGCTGTTATGATGTATGTCACAGCCGTATGTCGTGTGTGCTACTCGAAAGAACCGGCTGACAGTTGGTGCGTCAGTTGGCGGTCCTAGGATTCAAAGCCAGTGTCCGTCATCCGACCATAAGAGTTATTTAAAACTCGAAAATTCACCCAAATTTCTCTGCAGACCAGCAACACGTTGCCAGAGCGATACGTTGCGTTACGGTTGAAAAAAACACTTAGCAACCAGGGAAGTTCAGCCTCCGCCCGGAAGGAGCGGAGGCTGAATTTAGACAGCGGGTGAGAACATTTTGGTGCCCGCCCCAACTTCTTCGCTTCGGCTGCATCATCACAGAACGCGCGCTTGCTTGTCGGGCATCATGCTCTGTCTGATTGTGCCTGCTGCTGCTGCTGCCGCCGCTGCTGCCTTAAATGTGTTTTCTTTGGGTGTGCTCCCGCTCGTGCTCTTCGTCGAAGCGCCTGTTGTGTCTGTCTGCGCCGATTTCCCCTCAGGTCCCCAAACCGCCGTCCCTCGTCTCTCCCTCGTCTCTTATTTTGCCTCCGCTCCAGCAGCAGCTCCAGTAGCAGTTATAATGCGTACAGCAGTTGACAAACACATGAAGTCGAGAGAGAGAGAGAGAGAGAGAGAGGCCCCGAGAGAGAACTAACAAACCACACCCCGTTGACACCCTTCTCTCTATCTCTCCCGCTTTCTTTGTTTGGCACTTTGCACGGCAAGCAACAACAAAAGTAAAGCTGGCGGCCGTTGCATCAGAAGAAGTTGACTCGATGGTTGAGCGGGATCAAAACTACACCCACCCACCCACCCCCCTGTTTTGGCCAGATTTTGCGGCAGTCCCGAGTTTTAAATAAATGTGGATCACATGCGGACCCAAATACTGGTCATGGCCGAATAGACCAAAAAATGCCCAAGTTCCCTCTCGGAGTTTTGCATAACTCTACACGGCGTTGATCTCAAGCTAAAAAATACCACCGATCTCTGTTCACCTGGTAGTTTCCGCCTGATTCATATTGTGTCCAGCTTTAAGTGCAGACCTTCCACAACAACTGGCCTCGTCGAATAGCGACTCAGCTAGGTACATATTTTTGTTGTTGTGCAGCGTGAAATGAACCCATATCATTGGTCAACGACCACCTTCACCCCGCTGCGTCCTAAAACACGCGGGGTTACCCTGCCCTAGGTATTTTGCTTTATCCTGTTTTCTGAATTCGGGAAAGTAAACCGAACTGACGGGGAATGAGAGCTTTCATTTCAGCTGCTTGCACAATCCTTTTCCTCCGCAACCATGGGATGTTGTTGTTGTTGTTGTTGTTGTCTTCACATTAAAAACCGTTCCGATCTCTCTCTACCCAGTACCTTCGTGGGATACCCAACAGCGGAACCTGAATCCTCCCGACCAAAACAACCATGCAACCATGGCAGCTGAACAGGTATCAGTTTCCTCCTCTGCGAGACAACACCAACAATCTGTAAGCAGTGCAACTACAGCAACCTCAGGTATGCAGCGCATTTGCACACGCACAACACGTTGTCCGGTCGCCCCGGTGGTCTAGTTGGTATCTCCGAAACCTTCGAGAGGTCAGGGGTTCGAATACCGGCGTAAGCGAGCTTTTCTTGCAGTGTGAGTTTTTCTCCCGCTTCCGCTCGTGGCCCAGTGGATAGCGCTAGTTCGTGTGTACACAGAGGGAAGAGGGTGCTGAACTCTTCTCGCATTATAAATCGAAGGCAAAGTGCCGCAGGAGGGGAGGGTAGAGAGGGGCCAGGCTGTGTGACCACGGGTTGGAGTAAACGCCACTAGTGCTGTGAGCGCTGATTTCAAATGAAGACAAAAAATAAAAAAATACCCAAACAACTTCTAGTTGCTGTACTCTAGTCTATGCGGGGTGTATGTTGGGGTCACGCTAAGAACGGTAGACCGATCAAGCAAGGTTGGAATGCACACGTGTAGCAGCGTGTGGTGCTGTGGTGGCGGCGACCGAGCGCCATTGCCGCAGAGAGGAGGGAGGGTAGGAAGGGCTACTGCTGTAGCCCTCGCACACATTGAGGCTACATCATGACTCCAACAGCAGAAGACTACATGTCGTCCAACTCCTGCATCCTCCCCGTCAGTAGCGGAGGGGTCCTCATTTCCTGTCCGGTCAGGGTACTTTTCCGGTATCAGGGAACAGTATGCACCCAGTTGGGTTGCTTTTCGACCAGGGTACAGTGCCCTCTCGTGTCGTTTGCCCAAAAAAAAGCATGAACGATTCCGATCTGTCTGATACCACAACTGGCACGCGTTCGACGCAGAAGACATCACTCAGGGGTAGCTTGTAGCGCGGACCCG